TTTAATAAACAAATTTTATATTTAAACTTGGAATTGGGATCAAATGATCTCATTTTATTTCTCATGGAAAATAATTTTTTCAAATTAAACAAAAAAAAGTCCTACATCTGCAAGTTTATGTGATTTTCATAAAGGAATCTGAGATTTTCTATGTTCGTGATTTATTAAAAATTCTGTTTTGTTTCAATTCTCTTCATTGTCGCCATTGTGGATGTCAAAACAATTACATTATTTTGTCCCTTTAGAGAATTGCAATAAAATTAAATGAAACAAAATAGAATAAAAAGATTTGGAGAAAGTAAATTCACGTCTTGGCTATTTATCGTCAAATTGATTTGGCAACTCAACAAGGCAGATAGGACCAAAATTTTATTTAATGGTGAGAACCACTTGGGAATTTTTTTTTTGCGGTTCTAAAAGAAAAGGGAAGCAAGTAAATAGAAAAAATATACAAAAATTTTGTTGATATAAGTGAACATATGGTTCTTTTAAAAGATTACACACAAAAGAAAATTTAACAAGTGTGTAATTACGTGACGTGGAGGCGATTTTATTTTACATGAAAATTTCAAACTGTGCGGGAGTTACTTATTTCTACACCAAATTGAACGTTATATAATTGTCAGTAGGAATGCAAAAGAGTTCCATAGTTTAGTCAATTGCTGTCAGTGTGTCAACTTGTTTTGCTAATTCACTTTTGGCTGAACCAATTTTCAAGAAAATTTATTTGATTTTCGGAAGGTTTAAAATTTATTGATTTTACTTTTTCATTAAAATTCAAAGAAATAATGAACACATTTCATTTTGAGTTGGTCATTTTTTAAAGGAAAATCATTGACGTTTTTTTTTTGGCAAATTCGAATTAACACTAATATAAGTTTAAACTAAATCAAGTTTAAGTCTTCTAATTCAAGATTCTTAAAATTTAAATAATAGTTTCAGAGCAGTATTCCCAGATTCAGAATAAAATTTACAATTTTTAATGCTCTGGCCACATGACATGGGATTCTTCTAGCAATATTTTTAAAGCTAGGAGAAACAAATTTTGCTAATTTAATCCTTATAACTAGAAATGGCAATAAAGTATTTGATGTATATAATTAATAACAATGTAACTATAATAATTTGATTTAATTTCTAAAATAGAATAATTTCATTCTTAAAGGAAATTTGATTTTTAGTTAATATGCTAAAATTTTAGACAAACTAAGTAACGCTTTCGGTGTCGTTGTATGTAATTATGTCAATGTCAATTCTTCATTTTCATATGTAAAGGTTCAAGAAAAAATTACAGATATTCCATAAACTCCCTATAAATAAAGAGTTAAAAAGTCCTAAGTATTAACACCGGACTTTAATAATCAAAATATTAAAAAATAATTGTATTGTAGTATAATATTAAAATGTATGTATGAAAAAATTTCGTCAAGCTTTTATGAACTCCTTCAAAATTGTACTAAGTTTCTCATAAGTATGAAATAAGCTGCAAAAATGATAAAATGTACTTTGTTGTTATTACTTTATATTTTAAAATTTTAATCTACTTTTCCTTACCTTTCTAAATATTTTGAAAAAGAATTTTTCAAAATGTTATAAAAAGTTTTTGAAGAACTCTTTAATAACTTATCTAGTATTAGGAAATCTAGAGTAGATATATGGTTTTTGAAGTAGCACATTTCTCTTTAAGTTATATTGCGAATGAATTTTAAAATAATATTGCTAATCGAATGAAATAAATGAAATTAAATTTTGTAAAGTTTAATAACTATGCTTCCATAAAATTTGGGCACATAAAACCACCATGTGTTTTTCATATCAGCAATTGATTTTCTCTATTAAAACACTAAAAAACTTCACATTTCTTAGATAAAATCATGAAGGAAATAGTAATAACTTGTTCGAAATTTTAAAATTACTCTTTGGAAGCTTGTGAATTTTATAGAAAATAAATTTTGAAATAAGAGCATGCATAGGGTTGTCGAAATTTTAATTTATACTAAACGAGTTTACAGGAATTCTGTGAACAAAGGTGCGAACAGACTGACAAATTAAGTGAAGCAACCGATTTTTATTTTTAATATTTATTTTATTTAATGTTTTGAAAAGACTCAGAGCAGGGAGAAAGCGAAAGTTTTTTTTTTGTTTTCATAAAATAATAAAGTCATTTTTTAAGTTGAAAAGTAAAGTAAAAAAATATTACATTTTATTCTTCAACATTACACCATAATGTACCATCAGGATATTATTAGGCCCATAAGGATAATAGCTAACCTTTCCATATAATTAAACGATTTTTACCTTTATACAAACAAAGTTCTTCTTCCCTTTTTTGAATTTTCAAACTTTGTTTTTTACTTTTACCAATATTTAAGAATAAGGAAATAATCTGTTTTACTTAACATTTACAGGCGATCTCAATCATGAAAATAAAACCCCATTATAAAAGGTACTTATATACGTATATGATATTATTTTTAATTCAAGAAAAACGCAATAATAAAAAAAGAAGTTCATACTTCTTCCTTTACCAAGAAATGGAAATTTTCGTGAACGTTTGCTTTAAAAATATTTTTCCATTATAAAACGATTTCAAGCTATTTGATTGCCCTGAAGCTGATGTAACCTTAATTTTTACCTTTTTATAATACCTATAAGAAAAAAAATTAAGCACAACTTCCGCAAACTTTTACTTCATATACGATATATATATATATATTATACTTGTTCATATATAGACGATTATGTAGATATATATTAAAAGGTAATAATAGTAAGTATATGAAGTCCAAAAACCCTTGTTGAAATCGTTAAAATCGTGATAAAATTTTATAATGATGGTTTTTCTTTTTTGGAAGGAAACCTTAAGAAAAACTATGCAAAGAAGAGTGCTGATAACGAATTCAAATTTTTATTTCTTTAAAGAAAAAAAAAAGTTTTCCAGCCGAACATCGAAGGAAAAGTGAGAGAATCGTTGAAAAAATATTAAAATGTTATGCGATATTTTAATGTAAAAAGTAAAAATAAATTAAGAAAGATTTTAATTCGTTTTGATATTTAACACGTACAGGATACTTAAAAGTGTATTTCCAATGATTGTTTTAATGAAAATTAATGAAAAAGGATCAATAGATGAAAAAAATTTTTTTTTATTTTTTTTAAAGTAAATTTTAAAGTTTAGATTACTTAAAAGTTTTTCTTTTTTCTGCATGGGTGGAAAATATACTGCTCTTATTGTTAATTTATATTTCAATAATTTCATTTATTTTTTATGATCTCTTCCTTTTTGTGATATTATGTATGTATAATCATGTAATAGTTTAAATACTTACATTTTAAAAATGTATAACATTTCATATGAATTATGTATAACAGTTATTATGTATATTAATAAATATTTGGTAGAAATAAACACACTTATGTCCGTTTTACTGTAGATTAGCTTAAATGAAATTTTAAAAATTAAGAAATTGTCGCAGCAAGTTGAAAGTGAACATGAAACCAGTGATTTGGTGTCTTGAATTGTGTAGTGTTTGCTTTAAGATGAGATATGTTTAAATGTTATACAAATTGCGGATGTTTGAATAAGATAAGTTTCTTTTACTAATTTGTTATTTTTTAATTCTAAAAGTAACTTCTGGTTCTCTAATTTAAAAATTTTAAGCATAATCAGACTTAGATGGTATAAATTTTCTTATTAATTGTGAATATTGGATTTGAATTTTATATTTTAAATTTTATATTTGGAAAAGAAAAAATAAAAGCTGATTAGATTTGATTGTACTAACATCTGTTACTGGCATTAAAGTTATTCAATTGAGAAAGAAATTACGAGTATATTAGCAATTTAAGTTGTTAAAACAAAATTTTCAATGAATGTACAGTAAAACACGGTTAAGTGGAAATCGATCAGCCAAGAAAATTTTGTCCACTAAAGCGTGTTTTCCACTTATACGAATTCGACTTAAAAAATTACCTCCGATGTCAAAGAATTGAATTTATTAAAAACTGGTTCTAAACTTTAATTTTTCAACACTCAAAATTTGACAATGACAGAAACTAAAATATTTTGTGTAGCTACATAGTGTTGCTTTTCTTATTTTGTAGTTGAGAGTGTAGTTTTTCATTTTTGACATTTATGCTAAATAAAAACAGGCATGTGCAGTTAACCGAATAAATTTACATATTAAGTATTACATGAGGGAAAAAATATATGTATGTGCTGATAAGCGTGTTGTGCACTTATCCGAATTCCACTTAAACGAATTTTTTTATATGAAAAAATCGAAAAAAGTACAAGCCACGAAAATTTGATGCAATTAAGCGTGAAATCCACTTAAGCGTGTTTTACTGTACTTAGTGAAAATTATTTAATCTCATTATATTGTAGAAAAGGAACTATATTTAGCTATAATTGTTATTATGTAGTTATAATCCTTAAGTTCCATAATGTAGTAATACAGTATTTAAATTCTATTCAGAAATTTACGATGAAATTGAATTTATCAATTTATTTCTAAGCTCAATCTAATTTAAAAACTGCTATATTGCAATATGGAACCCAAGGAACCATTGTAAAACAGAACATGTACACAAATACTGAATATTTATTAGTATTTTTTTTGAAAAACATAAAATGTAAACACAAGCTTAAAAATTAATTTTAAATTTAAATAATATATTTTAAGCTTATATTAATTTTATTATATTTATAATTTTTTTAATTTATTTGTACAAATTTTACCCTATCAATTTCTATTTTTTTTCTTTTTTAAATATACCAAAAAAAAAATCGGATTAAATTGTTAGTAGAACGCTTCGAAAAATAAAATATTCAATAATTGTCAATTTCCAATAAATAATGATTTTTTGTTTTTATTAAAAAAAAATAAAATAAGGAAGTAGAGAGAGAAAGCGAAAGGCAAAGAAAAAACGACCTTTTTTTCTATCATCTCTTTCAATAAAATAAAATTACAATAATAAATTTAAATAATATTTTACAGAAATAAAAACAAAAACAAAAAATAATATTAAAAGAAAAAAATTAATTGAATTGTTTTTTAATGCACATTCAAATGACCCTGAGAATTTAATAAAAAAAAAAAACACATAAAAAATTTAACATAACCAAAACACAGCAAAGTAAATAGCGTTAAAAGTGATGGAGTGGAAATAAAATATTCCGAAATAAATGATAGAAATTAAAAATTATTATTTAAAAAAATAAAAGAATAATGTAAAACAACCCAATATTATTGAATGAGAAAAAAAATGAATCTTGTGTGAATAAAATATTAAAAAAAGGAAAAAAATACGAAAAAAAAATCATATAAAAAATTTAAAAAGAATTTGAAAAAGAAAAAAATTAATGAGTAGGTTCTAAAACGAAAATTAAATAAAAAAAATAAAAAAAAAAAAATAACATTAAAATTGATTACAATTTCTATATATTTTTGTAATAAAAACGCAATGGACTCGCTTGAAAGGTTAATGCGTGCGGCACCTTTGCCACGTGCTTTAACAACTGCTACTAAAGGAAACCAACGTGCCCTAGTTCATGCGTCATTAGCTACGGCTGTTGGTCGTAAAGGTCGTCATTTAACTGGAACATTTTGTTTAACCGGTGATACTATGGAGGGGATTATTCAGTGTTTGGTTTTTCTTAAAGCGTTTTCGGTAAGTTAAACTAGTTAAAATTAAAACAAAATTACAAAAAAAAAGATAAGTAATGAAAGAAGTCGATTGCATCTTTCGGTATATTTGCTGATATTTTTTTTACCTTTTTATTTTTCATTTTTTTTTATGAGTTTCATATTCTTATTTTTTCCACCTTTGAGTTGCCTTTGTTCTTGAATTTTTTATCAAATTAAGTTTTTGTTTTTATTCATAATTTTTAAATATTTTTTTCACTATTTAAAAACTAAATTTTATACAATAACTTCCAAAGAAAAACACAACATTAAAATTTTTCGGAAAAAGGTACACATCTTGATTTTCATTTAGTATATCTACATATATATCTATTCAGTGATAGAGTGAATAAAATATTAACGGATAGTTAAAATAAAAAATGCGAATACTCAAAAAATGGGAAATTTGAAAAAATCTAATTTATCAAACTTTGTTGTTAAGTTTGTGCAGATTTCTTCTTAGAAAACATGTTAATGTTAAGATATTTATATTATATTCATCGTCAGGGCTTAAATTATTATATAGGAAAAGTTTATTATTGTCATCAAAAAATGAATAAATATATTGTGTATATAGAAATGAAAATTGAATTTAAAAATTTAAGGAATTAAAAATTATAAAAAATCAGATACTTTAAAATTTTTAGTCACAAAAAAACCGAAGTTGGAAATTCTGTTCCCAAATGAAGTGTTTTGATTTAAAATTTTTATTGGAATCCAGTAAATCTACATAAAATTTATAATACTGTATTAATAATTATTTAAGACAATTAAGAAGTAAAAAGCATTTTTTAATTGTTTGTAATAATTAAATTATTAAATTTAATTTAATTTAATTCTACATAATAAATAAATTCATTGTTAATAATTACCAACAGTTAGTTAAATAAGTAATCAATTAAATTTATTTACGATTTTGGAATTAACGGACTATAAAAACAATCTGTCTACATTTTAATTATTACATTATGAATATTTCATTATTATTAATTGAATTTTAATTTGAAGTTAGTCATGTTTCTATACTTTTAATTTACTTTATCTGCTTAAATAGCAGATCGCAGGAATTTTGTTTTTTAAAAGAAATTGTTCGCTATGCCCTCCCAACTTCCCGAACTTTAATTCAATTGTAGTCACATTGTTGCTTTATTCTATTACTTTACTATTATCTAATAGAGAATCTTAACATGAAGTATGCAATATTTATAATCTATTATGTTATATTAATAAAATGAGTCACAAAAATGGTTTGTAATGTAGCACTCTTTCTTTCAACAATTAGTGACAATTACTTTCATTCATATACGAATATATTTTTAGGATTGCATATTTTCAGGATGAACAATTTATGGAGCCTTGAAGTAGAGTAAAAAAAATTGAAAGAGGCGTTAACATAATGCTAGATTTTAAGGGTTAATTGCATGAGTTAAGAAAATAAATATATTTTTTAATGAAATGGCATTCTGCATTTATAGAAATTTTAAAAAGGTTGCAGTTTCGGAAATATAAGGTGTCAAATATTCAAATTTTACAAATTTCCAGAGGCAATAACTTGAGAGGTAGTGGAGGTGCGAAAAATTTTTCTAAAAGCTGTTAAAATTTAAGACTTCTGCAACTTGGGGTCTAGAAGAGAAACGGCATTAAAAATTTGGAAAAAACGGATAGATTATGGTAAATTTTAATGGCTATTATGTTCTTTTTTAATGTTCAAATATGATATGCTGCGATAGAAGAAGCCAGGTACTGCTTTCTGCATTGGCGCATAGTCCCGCTGTAATAAATAGTTAAAAAATTAAATTTTTAAGGTTTTGGGTGGTATAACTTTTAGAGTGGGGAGGTAGGAAAAATTTTCTTCTACGGAAATAAGATTCTGGTAAAGATCTATGTATGTACATACGAAATTTCAGATTTCTATCTTCAAGAGTTTAAAAGTTTTTTAAACAGACACACGGACAGACGGACAGAGTTAAACTAATAACCACTTTTTTTCAAAAATGTTTTTGGAAAAGTGCTAAAAAGGCATTTTTAGTTATTGAAGGAAAATTTGCATCTTTAACTTGTTCCATTCGATTCAAATTTTTTTTGATTTGGTCTATTTTTACTGTATTGCAATAAATAGATTGATTGATTATTTATCAGTAAATTTAAAGCGAAAAAAAATTTTAACAATTACTTTGCCTAGTTCAAAGCAATTCGAATTTTACATGTGCATATGTTAGGCATTTAAGAAACATTTATTCTTTAAAAACTTAGAAATATGGCACGCTGTTTTTATGCATTTTTGATTCCCTTTGTTTATTGAATTTTAAATTATTTTTAATATTATATACATACCTACATATGTATGTATATAAAAGTTGAAAAAAATAAGAGTGAAAATAAAGAAATAATATTAAATTTTCCATTTCAATTTTGTTTGAATTTCTTTGTTTTGGTTCAGTTACTGTTATTCTTATTACTTTTCGTTCATACATACATACAAATTCATATACTAAGAAATCGTATAGTTAGTACTTTTTTCGTTGCTGCTTTTAACCTTTTTCAATTGAATTGATTTTTTTTTTGTTGGTTTGAAATTAGGTAAACAAGTGACGTCCAATATTAGGAATGGAAATAAAAGTGAAAAATAAAAGTGTTTCCTTTTTAATACATTTTTAAAAATTATTGTTTCTATAGTTATTTCCAATTTTTTTAACCAATATATAAAATATGTTTTTTTGTTGCAGTTAAAAGGTTGCGCCTGTGTAGCAAACAATTTTACTTTTTTAAATGACGAAACTGAATTTATATTTTATATTCTTAAATCTTCACAGCGAAAACTTCTAATTGTACTCTGTATTTGAGTTTTAGGTTTTATTTTTAGATATTTCGACAGTAATGCATTTTGCAATAATTGTTCATAATTGCGAATGAAATTTGTTAGCGAAGAATAATTGACATATTAGTAAGATAACATTGACCGTACCTTTTTAAAATTTACAAGAAAATTTTATTTGTTATCTTAACCCATAAAATGGACATACTCACATAGAAATAATTAAAAATATTCGAAGTCACAAAAATTGTTTAACTAAAATCGATTTTGAAGGGGTTAACTTCTTTGAAGGTGAAGGACCACACCGCCAAAATAAGACATTTTTGTGAGTAATTTTTGTTAAAAAATTTATTATAACTAAACTGTTAGAATATAACTTCAATTCATTAAAACTATAATAAAATGGAAATAAAAAATTATTCTGAGGGTTTCAAAATAATTGGAAAATTGCTTTATATCATCTATAGTTGTTTATGCAAATGGGATATTTTCTAAAATAATGATAAAATATTTGAAGTTGTATGGTAGCCACTAGAACCACCATTTTGCTTACAACCAATTTAAATAGGATGATCGCTGTTTTTCAAGGTTAGATGGAATCGTAAATTTGTACATTCTTATGTTCGTACGGAAAGAAGAAGTACTTCTAACAAAGTCATATTTGTTTCATATCCAAATAAGTCAATCGGACAATTCTACAATCAGTAACAAAATTTTGTTAAAGTGCGAACATTCAAAAAATATAGATATGTATAATAGTTGAAATCATATGAAATATAATTTCAAAATAAATATTAGTTTTTGTACCTAACTACATGGTATATCGAGAATAAAATAAAATAAAGTGTTCTACATAAGTGTTCTACATGTGCTTATATTCCAATAAATATGTAGTGAATAAAATCATAACTAGCTATGCCAATATGCAAAATGTTAGCTGCAAATGAAAAATGAAAATTTTCGTAAAACTTAAAAAAGTTTTGCATTGTCAATGTTGCTTAATAAATATGATATGAAGTTTTTGAAACTCAAAAATGTAATTTATGTTTCTGTATTTGGATGATGCGAATATTCCAAAACTGCGATAACGTCAATTAAATTGTTACATTCACCCTCACATTTAAATGAAAGTCTCCCTAAAACTTAGCAATATAATTTTCATTTCTATTTTATTTTAACGATTACTAAACTTAAAGACAAATATAATTAAGGACATACACATAAACTTATGTATATAATGTATGTATGTATGTATGTATGATGTATTTTCAAAATGGGAATTATGCTTCTGAATTAATCAAATTTTCAAGATTTTTTCAGTTTTTCATATTATTATTCTTTGTTTTTTTATTTTTTTCCACTCAAATGAATTTTCTGTGAGTGAATTTTGAGTTTTTGCACTTATCACTTTCTAAATAATTCTTTCCTTCTTTCAACTCTATTTAAATTTGCTTTATGATATCTGTCTCTTTCTCTTGTGATTTAATTATCTCAATTTTTATTTTATAAATTAATAATTCTGACAACTTTATTTTATATTGTTTTATTGCTATTGAAATAATTTTTAAATAAAACAAAAAACAATTTTTGGAAGGAAGAATAATTTTTTTAATTAAATCAGCAAATTAGCATTTTTTCCGCATTAAAAGATATTTTCCATTATTTTCACCAAAAATTTATAAACACATTTTTAATTGTGAATTTTTAAGAATTCAATTAAGATCAAAAGTTTATGCCTACAAAATTACAAATAATATTTTTTATACATCATTAAAAAGCATTTATTTATATAATAATGATTATTTATGGTATCAGTACAAAAAGTATTAGAATTTATAGTAGCTTAGATATTTCTTGTCTTATAGTTGGAAACAGTAGTCGGTTTTAAAAGAAGAAAACCGATGTAACGCTTAAAAGTGGTCCCGATATGTTAATATTGCAAACATTCGCATATTTTCCTTTTAACGTATAAAACTACAAAGAAAATTTTAATTAATGTTTTCTATATTTACGTACGTGTAAGTATGTGTATGCCTCATGTTACTTAAAATGCACAATTCTATTTCAAAGTTTTATAATAGAAATATTCTAAAGCATGTATAGACCTGTAGTATTAGGAAGTAAAAGTTACATTATTTTGTTTATTCAAACTAATTGTATTAATGTTCCGA